AATGCGCAGTGAAAGATCAACTGTATTGTAAGATTATTCTGGTGTTTTAGCTTCTCAAAGTAAGTTGTCTATTTCCACGTGCCTGAATTATAAGTGGAATGTAGACGGTACATGGTGAATCTCTCAGTTCTAATATGATTATAGAAGATTATATTATCATTATAGAAGATATACTATACATATACTATAGATACATACATACATCAAAAGAGAAAAGAAAAGCATATTTGAGGCAGTGGGAGTTTTCTGCTATAGGGCTTCTGCTCCAAATCATAAAAGAGCCCCATATTTTTGTCATTCTCATCTACAGTTTTTGTCTACTGCAGTTTTTTGCACAATATAACAGGTCATAATGCTGCTGCAATAATTTGTTGCTTTTTTCTTGTATGGTTATCTTAAGCATTTGTGCAGAGAACAGGGAGAGAAATCCCTTCTGCTGCCCTTTGAATAATGTGAGACAGAAGCAGAGACAAGACTAGAACAGTCAAATATGTGGGAGTTGCGCAACATCATGAGTATTAGCACCAGTGTTCATAGTGTGTGGAGAACTTTCTGCAGGTTTGCTTTCTGCATTACTATTACTACTGGAAGAAGTTGTGTACCTTGCCTCTAACTTACTACATTCAGTTGGACAGAAATCACAAATGCATGGCTGCCGGGATATGTGGTTATGTAAGGGGAGGCTGTGTTCACGTTAAATACCCCATCATGTGCAATAAAAAAAATCCAGTTTTTGATTGTCATATGTAAATGAGTATGCACCGTGTACACACCTTCACCTTTTTAGCTAGGATTCACTTTGCAAAGTAAGCATATACTTTGCAAATTAAACACTCGCTTTCTAGATGAGCAGACCCTGCCTCTTTAGTAAGTCAACGCTATTGTCTTTATTCCTCTCATTCAGCATAACATGAAGACAAAACAGGCAAAAACTCATATATTTTTAAGTGTTGGATATATAGAAAAGCACATAAATGTAATTTAGTGAGTTTCATTGACACAACATTGTAATGTCATATTTAATGTTTTAAATGCTCACTAATTCAATGGATATTAATATGTTTAAATAAATAATATATTATTCAATATTTAGATTTGTGTTTACAACCAGTCATAGTAATGTTCTCTTTTTATCAACAGAGCAAGTAAAAACAGATCAGTTTATGAATGATAAGAAATCACATGAAGTTGTGATCATGTCACAACTGGTGGAGGGCATTGCAAATATCTATCACATTAAACAGGTAAATGTCTGCAGTTTGTTAATGTTTTTTTCTATATGGATGATGACGGTTTTGGGCATACACACTTAATTCCTTGGGCTCATTTAGTTCCCTAAAACAGCAGAATGTTGCATTTAGCAATTGGTGACCAGAACTCTCATGGTCCACCACTGCCCATTCTCTTCAATTCCCTATTGGGTACTGAGTAAATATGGAGCTGAGGAGTGTTAGAAAGAGTGGGCCACAGGTCAACCATAAGAGATGTGATCAATGTTTGCTTAATTCAGTTTTCTGGAATGTTTGGGTCGCAGGTGCTTGGCAAAGAAAGCATACACGCAGGCACCAATAGGTTCCGGATGACCCCTGGCTGCTTGGATGATTTTAAATACCAAGGGTAAACTTTAAAGTTTTTAAAGACTAAAATTTATTTTACTTTAAAATGTGGGTCTAGAAGGTGTTCTTTGTGTATTCCCAAAGCTAAACTACAGATAAAATTAAAAGTTACCTTTGCACTGCAAGAGTTAAATGCTTGTTTTGGTGTAGGGGGAACATAAGCAGCAGTTTTACTTGCCTCATCCCTTGCTCCCCCAGCAGCTGGCGCCCTCCTCTTCTCTCGGATGGTGGGCATGCCCTTGGTATCCTCGCATATAATCCAGGCCTGCCATGACACCGTGTGCCTGGAAAAGACAGAGTGGCTTCGGGGGCCCAGTCGTGCAGCTGGGAGGAAGCCTGCCATATTTTACGCCTAGACAAAACGAGCATATAACCCTTGCAGTGTGTGGGGAGCCCCATTGCAAGAGAAGCTTTTGATTTAACCTGATAGGATCAATAATTATCTAAGTTAGTATGCTCTAACAAGATATTCTGGACTTGTCATTTTCCACCCACAGTATGTGTTTTTCTGCGGTGGCCATTTCCATAAAAACAATTATTAAAAACATCTTATTTAAAGGAGAACTATGAGTTTTGCAATTTTACAAGCAGTGTAGAAAAGTCCCCCATGTTAATTACTACATTTTCTCTGTTTTGGTGTGTCTACTTTCCAGACAGTAGGAAATCTTCAAAAGGCTGCAAAAAAGATAGTGTGGACTTCATAGCTGTTGACAGCAGAGATAGCAGACATACAGATGTGCTGTTTTAGCAGTGGTGTTACATTTCAAAGTCATTTGTGATCTGTGCCAAAAAAGCTTCTAGTCTGGAAATCTAAGTTACTAGTATTCGAGCATTAAAAAAATTAAAATAGGTCAATTTAACTTGCCTTATTTCCTACTGATTTTTTGCTAGGTTTTACTTCTTTCATTCATGCCTCAGTTAATGTTTTCTTTTGAACGAAATAATTTCCTATATTGGTTCAGTTTTTTTCGCGTACCATATTGCTGTAATCCTTAAGTAAATGGGCTGTTTATTTCATTATTTTTTTGTATTCAATAACTAATAGGTACAAATGATTGCCAGTTAAAATTGATAACTTTAGATGACTTATATCTACATAAATGTGCACACTAAAATTAATCATTTGAAACTGAAAAGATGTTGAATTGTAGGGCTGGAACATAGGGAATAATGACGAGCCTGGCAAAGGCTTCTCTCTCCATTCTCTTCTGCAATATGCTCCCCCCCCTTTGTCTGTATACACAGTGGCCATTTATGTACATACTGCATTAATAACAGACAGGTGAGCATGGAAAAAAGTATAAAGGACTGCTCATAGGTACACTTTTTTTCCTTTAACATTTTTACAGATCATGGTATAGTGGCTGCAGGACCTAGTGTATATAATAGCAAATCATTTATTTTTGGTTTTGGATAGAGTGGGGAAAGGTTAAACTTTATGCCAAGTTGTTAATACAGGATGTGTCCCTGCTGGAGATTTTCACCTTTTCTACTTGTGACCATTTTGACTGAGCCAAAAGTGAGAAGACATCCAGCAATTGAGTTGTCACTAGAGTAAGAGATGAGCGGAACATGGGGACAATTGTTTCTGTGACAACTCTCTAAGAGGGGAATTCTGTTTATTTTGTAGACATTTTCTCCAATTTTCTGTTGCATCTCTAGGACAGGTGAAAGAAAATCTCCCCTGCAGGACACAAGTAGCAAAAAATAGCTTTATTTACTGAAGTTCTGTAGAAAATTTTGACATTTTAAAGGGGGAAATTTTGGAAAATTGAATTACCCCCTCCAATCTGGCCCCCTCTCCCTCCTGCTATACTTACCTTTCAGCGAATGCTCCTTCCCCTCCGCGGGTACGCATGTACTATCCATACTCCGTACTGCCTGCTAGCGCAGCCCTGCACTCTGGATTTTGAATGTTGCTCGCAAATGGCACCTTCTGCCATTTGAAGCGCTTCTTGCTAATGAGTGCTTACCGTTTGAGAGTGAAATTATAAATCCAGAATGCAGAGGTGCGCTGGATGGCAGTACAGAGGACGGATAGTACACCCATACCAGCGGAGGGGAAGAAGCGTTCATAGAAAGATAAGTATAGCAGGAATCGGATAGAGGGGGCCATATTGGAGAGGATAATTCAATTTTCCTAAACTCACCTGGGAAAGTGGACTCACCCTTTAACGAAAAGGTAAAGAATAGGCCTCTACCTCCTGAGCTTCCCTGTTGGTCCTTTTATGTGATAAAGGGGCTGAGC